ATATTTATATGTATATCGCCTCATGTTTTACTTTTGTTTCGTGGATTTAGGATGTAAAATGTGTTAATTTATATTAATTTGAGGTCTTTTATGGGTAGGAATGATACGGGAGCAATTGGGGCGAAAGGTGCGAGATTAGAGCCAAAATAGACGAAAAAAGGGAAGGTGGCATTTTCAGCGCCACAGGCAGCGCCAAACGCTTCCTGGACGGTGCCCAGCGTTGGGTTGGACGCTGGTGGCGTGATTTCTGTCCAACTTCGCCTGGGACAAGGTTATTTCGGCCCAAGACCCCCCCTCCCCCCCAACCCCAACTCGTATAAAAGGATTTCTAAACCTAATTTGAAAGATCTAACATACTTCGAAAGAGAATTTACGTGGAGGAACACACACCACGCTTGGAGGAGATTTCTAACTAGTTTTTCTTCTCTTCTCTTCTCTTCCTTTAATCTCATAGTTTATTTGTTCTAGAGTTTTGGGTGCTACATGAACACTGTGGTTTGAAGCTTGAATTGTTCTTATTATTTTATCATATTGGTTTATTTATACAATCTTGCGCTTAATTATTTGATTGCTTGATCACCAATTGAATACTATCTATGAATCTAGGACTGAACTCGTGAGAGGGAATTCTAGATTGCAAATAAGATTGAGTAGAGCGAGATCTTGAACTCGAGCAACGGGAACAAATTTGCGGTTAGGATAGGGATATACCTAATCGCTTTGCTTGGTTACTATACATGAATTATTAATGCGTTCTTGTCAATCCTAATTTCATAGGAATATAGGCGTTAGGTTAGCTTGAATAGGCGAGTAGTACTTCGGGAGAAGGCTACGAGCAATATTAACCCTGTCAATCAATAAACCAGATAAATTAATTAGACATAGGTGGACGACAACGAGATTGTTAGCTAACCCATAGCTCTAGAATATTTTCTCTCATTGAATTCGTCTCTAATTTTGCCAACTTGTTCCTCTAATCTCTTAATTTATTACTCTAGATTAGTTTTAATTAAATATTCATACATTAGAAAATCACTTGAATAGATTAATTATTTGGATTTAATTTAGTTGATAGTTAATCACAAGTCCCTGTGGGTACGATATTTGAACTTACAGTCTTATATTACTTGTCGACCACGTATACTTGCGTGTGCGTTTGGGAGCAACATATACCGGTCCAACATAATATGTTGGAAGTTCATACACGGGTGCACCAAACTCCAGTATATTATGCTGGACCGGTCTTTGTTGAAGCAAAATAGTAGCTATTTTTTAATGACTTGGCAAACGCTGGCTATTTTTGAATGACCAGTCCTAAAACTGGCTAGCCCGTGCTATTTTAACATATTTTACACGTTATTGACTTTAACGATTGGCCGAGTGGGTTGGGCCAAGTGGGTTGACTCACTTTTCAACTCAATCCTTTTTTGAGATCTTTACATACATAGCCCGTCATATTAATTGTTTACTTTTTTTAGCCATATACATAGATTATACATTAATTATACACAATTATACACATGTATATATAAATTATACATATAATATACATTCACCGGCTATTTGTAGTTTAAGTGATAGGGTGAACGGCTATTTGGGTTAATGCTTCTTTTTTTTCATCGAAAAGTGTGCTTTCTTTTGTGGAACACAGCAGGCCAACAAACCCCACAACAAAAAAATAATCCTAATCTTTATTTTTTTTTATAAATTTTTATCTAATATGCAATGTTTGATTCAAATATAATTCCTTTATAATCTATGTATATGTAGTGTATATACATTATGTATTGATTATACACTTATTTTGTATTTTTATACACTTTTTATGCACTGAGTATCCACCGATGATAGCTACAAACTGTTATGGATAGACAGGTGAAAAATTCTTTTAACCAGAAGGCTAAAAATGTTAAGATCCCATATTTTATGATATTGCTTATTTTAGTTATAAACTTGATTTCCATGTACTGAGAAGTGTGAGAATTAAACTAACCTTTATGTTTAGAGAACTCACAATTTGCGTTAACATAATGGAGTAAAACTTTTTGTGCTAGAATGCAATGTACCTGAATAGATTCATATAATTACCTCAATTAATTAACTAATTTAGACGTAAGAATTTGTAGATTGATAAGTTTCTATACAAATGCATATAAGTCCTCTCCCGGTTCAATTTCAAGTAAGGGCTGTTATAAGTTTCTTCTAGGGAAATTACCAGCTATGTCCATTTATAAGTAGCTCATTACAAATATTGGTCAATTGATAAAATATTACTAATATTAGCCAAATTAGCCAATAGCTATTTGTAGCAAAAAATATCAAATTTTTGCTTTGTTTTGAGTGGGTGTTATTAGAATAGATTGGGCACAACTTAAGGAGTTTGAATCTCAGTTTTGGAATGATTTGGTGAAGTTTTGAGGTGGTTTGAATTGAAAATTCGAAGTAAAAGCTGAATATGAAAAAAAATGATATGTGTATCACATTGTGTATCACATATGTATCATATTTGTATCAATTGTGTATCACATGTATATCCATGTATACCTGTGTGTGTGATACATGCGTGATACATGTTTGATACATGTGTCGCAGAAGACTTTTTTGAACTCGATTTAATTACGAACCCAACAAAACAAAGAGCAATAATATATCAAATTTGTTAAGAAGAAACAATAAACTTGCCGGTTATATACAATTTTTATTACTAGGAATTAGTAAATTAGTTGAGCAGTAATTCAAATCTCTTAAAAGGTATAATAACTGAATTTGAAATAAATAGTAAGTTGAATACTAATAGTAACTTACAAGGTATACTCATATTCCAAACTTGACTAAAATAATTGGGTGGAAGAACCACTCCAAGTTTACCAAATAAATATACTTAACTTCCACTACAAAACAACACTAGAAAAATTCACCAACAAAAAAAAAAAAACCTTTCCTAAGAAAATATTTGAACCCCCCCCCCCCCCACCCACCCCACCCACCCAAAAAAAAGGTACTATATATTATGATCTACAATTTTAGTGTCTCAACCATTCCTAGGAGCCAAAGCCAATAATTAGAAACAAAGAGCAAGAATCAATGGCAATAAGATGTTCATTGGAAACCACTTGGATGAATAATAAGCAGTATTTGCAGAGGGATGATAAGGTTGTAAAGTTTCAAGTGGCTTCTTTGTGGGAGTACCAGGAAAATGATCAGGATATCCCTTTGATGGGGCTATAGGAGTCACTAGAGGTGTTGTTGGAGCTGCAATTGCAATTTTAACGTGAAGTTTGAGTCCAGAAGCACAATGACCTGGAATATCACACAAGAAATAATAGTCCCCTGGAGTTGCGAGGATGACTGAATCGCTGCCGGAATTGAAACTGGCTATTGGAGTTTTATTGCTGCATGTGTTGTAGTCGTTGACGTTCACTTGCCTCACATTGTGCAACCCCGGGTCGTAGTTGAAAACTGCATGTTACACAACTCATATGTAAGGTCTTCTGTACGATAAAACACTACTTTTAAGTTAGAGCTGTCAGTAAGAGTTGGCTCGGGATCAAATAATGGACTAGGTTGGGCTCGTCTAGCTGGACAAACCTATATTGACGGTTCTAACAGTAACAAACAGTTTATGTCAAACAAAAAAGAAAAGAAAAAAAGAAAAAACAGATGTTACAAACATGAATAATAAATGTGTTAGGCTTCCTAAATTTGGTCACGTAATTCAATAGTGTATGCATTTGTTTTGTTGCAAAAGTGAAAACTCAATAAAACACATACTTGACATGACTGCGATTTAATCTGACTAACATTTACATTACTGTTTCAGCAGGGGCGGATGCATGTGGAAGTTTAAATTTGCTATATAGATTTAAAATAACAAGAAGAGCAAAAGATCTTACCAAGGGTATCGCCAACTTGAAAATTCTTAAAAAAAGACCATGTATCATAATTGTAGTTGAAAGTCCATCCTTTAGAATCGCCAACTTGATACACATCAGCCATGGTAGATCCCAAAATAGCCATCATCACCACCAACAAAACCATCATTGCTTTTAAGAAAGCCATATGTTAACTTGTATATATAATTTCTCAATGCTAATACTTAGGAAGAATTAGAGATTTTGTGGATTTTTATTAGTGCTAACGAATAAGCCTCTAAGGTATAACTTTTAAAGGCGTAGTTAATTGCCTCCTTAACTTGGTAGGACTACTTTAATTTTGGAAATTTAATTTCCAATGAAACTAAAGGTAATAACTAAACGTAGTATTGCCAAAAATTAAATCATACAAGTACTTACCATGTTTAATTTGGAACTTTATAGAGGTACAACGAGGTACGTGTGTAATTAGTGTGTGTCCGCTAAATTTTTGTTTATGCGTCAGTCTTAAATTTTTGAGAAAAAATAAATTTTAATTATCGTAGCTAACCAAAACTAAATATATTTGGGTCTAATTTCCTGGGTCAATTCTTTCTTTAAATATTCTGATTTTTGAAAGCTTTGAGTTTGGAATTTTTCCTATTATATTCTTTTCTATTAGTAGGAAAGGAATTTCGTAATAATGAAACCATTCTTTTCCTGCTACATACAGGTTTAGTGGTGCTTAATTAATTATTTCCTTAATATTACTTTCTTTAAGAAATCGAGATTTCCAAATAATATAATTCTACTTCCTAGTAAAACTTAACAGGGTTTTGTGGTGCTTCTTAATTACTTATTACATTATTTCTTTAATAGGAGTATTAATTTCCATAAGTTGACCATTTTTAATAATTAAAAAAAAAGATTTCATAAGTTGAAATTCTGCTTCCTAGTAAAATAAAGTTCCGTGGTACTTAAGTACTTGAATTACATTATTTCCTTTATATTAATTTCCATAAGTTGAGAAAACGAAATTCCCAAATAATAAAAAGGTTTTCCTAGTAAAATATGGTTATTTAAAGGGGCATTTGCATCCATTAATTAGTGCATTAATATTCAAAGTATTCTATTTGAATTTAATAAGCCATGGCTTTCACTAAAAGAACAATAATGCTTCTGTGCTTTATTATGGCTGCTTCCATGGGACTGTCCACGGCTGCTGTATATGATGTTGGTGATTCTAAAGGTTGGATAGTAGGCAACGTTGATTATAATGATTGGGCTTCTTCAAAGAATTTTCAAGTTAATGACATCTTGAGTAAGTAGTTTCCTCTATCCTCATATTGTATATTTCTTCGGAATATTGTTTTACTTATTCACATTCGGGGCTTACACTAAACGAATGATAACATGAATGTCTTCAACATATTTTCTTTTATATATCTATTAATTAAGGTTATTTAACATATATTTTTAGTTTTGTTAGTATAATGTGTTATACAACAACAATAATAACAACAACAACAAATCCAGTAGTTTCCCACAAGTGGGGTTTAAAATCACTAAACCAATGAAGAATGTTGATCCAAACAGAAATAAGAAATTATTTCGAATTTACAGAATCCACTATGTGTCCTTAATGAATTTAATCTCCTCACTGTTGTTCAGGATTGTAAATTAATTTATCCTATGATAGAATGGAACCGGCAATTCAAATTACAGAATTTTGGCGAACTCAAATGATGGAGCAAATCATACTTGACACTTATATTTATTTTAGAATAATACAAAAAAGTGGGGGTAATTTTCAGAATTTGCAGTGTTTGAAAAATAAGACTAAGCATCTGGATTTATAGGCAATGAAAGATTGAGAAGGAGCGATACAATCCAAAAGATACCTTTTCTCATTCACACCTTAAAAATCCAACAAGTTTATATATTGTATTATTTAATCATAATAAATTTATATAATTTAATGGAAACAACGAGTGTGAGTAATTAAGTTGTTCCACTAATTGACTTGGTACCTTTTTCCCACGGTAAATTCTTGCAACTACTCCAAAAATAATAATAAAAGACTAAATAAATTTTGTTAAAACTTGTTAATTTCACATGGAAAAGTTGTCAATTTTATTTTATTTTATTTTCTATGGACTAATTGAGGGTGTCAATTGAACTTGCAGGTTTTAATTACAACAACAAATACCACAACGTGATGCAAGTGAGTAGCCAAGAATATTATACATGCACAGTTACAAATCCAATAGCCACTTTAAATACAGGCAAAGACTCTTTTACACTTTCAGCCCCTGGCGATTACTATTACCTCTGCGCAATTCCTGGCCATTGCCAAATTGGCCAAAAAGTTCATATAAAAGTTGATGGTTCTCAGGCAAAGAGTGTCCAAGGAAATGCTTATCTATCTGAAGCCAGTGTTGTTTCATCCCTTTCTTTCTTGTGGTTTTCCGTCATGGGCATGCTTGGAATCTGCTTTTTTTAGGTCAAGACGAAGTCAGAATTTTTAGTTTATGGTTTTTAGATCATTATAACGTGACTTCACACCTACTTCTAGGGTTTTTTTTTTTTTGTGCTAATTTTTTGGTTGGTGCTTGCCAATTGGGATAAAGGTTTTTTTTTTTCGTTTACTTTATTTTGACACCATCATAGCGAGTATCGATCACCAACTGAAAAATGCAATGTTGTTGGTGGTGAGAATTATGTAAACATAAAATTTCAGAGTAATATTATTATTTTATCATGATTTTAGTCTTTGTATTATATTATTTAACTCAGTGATTTCATGGAGAATAAAAGAAGAACAGATATTTGTACAATAATACAATCCAGCACATATATTTCATCTACATAGCCAAGAAAAAGATTGTAGCCATGTAAACCAACAAGATATAGCCTAGAACCCTACACTCATGCTTTTTTCAACAAATCTGTAGATTTCATCCATGTCTATCCAACAAACCATTCCGCTTTCAAATTAGGTGTGAGCTTGGAATTTACTTTTTTTTAGGTTATGGCGAAGTCATAATCTTTAGTTTATGAATTTTGGATCATTGTAATGTGGCTTCACACTAACTTTTAGGTTGTTTGTTTATTTATTTATTTTTTTGGTGCTAATATGTAGTTGGTGCTTGCCATAGAGTTTTTTTTTTCGTTTCACTTTATTTTGACACTGATGATAGGCTATAATTACGTATTTTAGTCGATTATTACTTCCCATTTCACTGCACTTCAGTTGAGTTTGAGCTTTAATCGCTAGTGTTTTGCACTAATTGTGTATTTTATGCCTTGTAGGAGTGATTTCGAGCTATGTAGATATTATGGAATGAATTCAAGTGATTTGAAGCTTTGATGTCTGATTAAAAGCCCAAGGAATCAAGCCGGGATTGTGTTTGGGGATCAACGGATGATAGTTAAGAATGAAACGAAGAATCGAGCGGGCATATGGCGTATTGTCTAGTAAAATGCACATGATTTTTTGCTCAGAACTCCGTTTGGGCTCCACAATATATCATTAGAAAGCTATTTGAAAGGGCTACAACTTTCATGTTTTGCCACTACTAGAAATACGGAAAAAAGCGACCACGAAAAGCGACCAATGTTGGTCGCTTATTGGCCAAAAAGCGACCAAACACGCCTGGTCGATATTAAGCTGGTCCCTTTACCTTAGGGACCAAAGTTGGTCGCTATAGCGACCAACTTTGGTCTCACAGGTAAAAGGACCAAATTTTTCGGGCAAAGCATATAGCGACCAACTTTGGTCGCTCAAATATTTTAATATTATAAATTTGGCGACCAACTTTGGTCGCCAGATGTAAATAACGTTTTATTTTTATTTATTGTTAATCATATCAAGCGACCAACTTTGGTCGCTATATTAATAAATTTTATAATTTTTTATTTAATTTGCGACCAAAATTGGTCGCAAATGGCAAGAATTAATTTTTTTTAAACTATAAGCGACCAACGTTGGTCGCAAAATTACCAGAAATTATTTTTCTAAAATACAATAGCGACCAAGACTGGTCGCTATTGCCCAAAAAATTATTTTTTTTTAAGTGAAAAGCGACCAACTGGAGACCAAAGTTGGTCGCTTTTTTTGGTATATTTTTGGCAGAAACTGCCTGTTTTGGCTGCTACACCACTTGCCAGCTTATACCAAATATCCTAAACAGGCATTTTATGCCAACAACAACACTAAAAAGCAACAAAATATAAAGATCAATAGAACTAAAACAGTAAGCTAACAAAATTAAGTTAACGTTTATTACAAGCTCATTCGAAAACTAGTTCTATTGTCTAGTTCAAAGTATATAAAGTACTCAAGGAGTGTTCTTTTAGCATCGTCGTTCGAAAGTTGGATTGCCTCGGCCGACTCGTTAGGTGGATGACTGCGTATGAATTCCCCCACATCAGCTGTGAAGCGAACCTATAAGAAAAATTATATTGAATTAATATTTCAAAATTTATATAAAAGTAAACCAAAATACTTAATGAAAAGTAAAAAACTTACATGTATAGTCGAGGCTCGACCCTCGACCCACCTTTCTGAATCAGTCTATTTCTTCTTCTTTACAATACGAGTTTCATTGAATAGCTCATCTATCTTCATTGGCATCATTAAGTTGTCCGGTGTCTTTGGTGATCATCCCCGTGGTACTATTACTCGGAATGAACTTGGATACAGAGAACAACTTGGATACAATAGCTGACAGGGTGTGTCTTTTGATCAATTGTTGTTCTCATTAGCGACAATGATGTTGAGACTGTAATGGCATGTGTTTCAACTAGTGATGGTATAGGCAGGAATTTTAACATTTCCTAAGTAGATAAAAGAAAGATTATAGAGGAATTCTCTACTTCATTTTCCAAGAAGAAAAGAGGTTTAATTGAGAGTGACAAGGGTGATGGTGATGGAATGTTTTCCGTCGGCCATGGCAATTCCCATAAAACGGGGATCATAAGACTCTATGATGACATAGATCATAGGAAGTTTTGTTCTCAACTTTCTTCAAAGTCTGATCCGTACAAGCTTAATGGGATATTGGTGATACATTCTTCTGAATCCGAAGAATATATCACCAATATCCCACTAAGCTTGTACGGATCAGACTTGGAAGAAAGTTAAGAACAAAACTTCCTATGATCTCTGTCATCATAGATGTCACACCTCCTTTTTTCTACACCTGTGAGGGTGTAAAGGAGTTTTTCCAATTAAAGGACGGTCGGAACGGGATTTATTATCAATATTCAGAGTCGCCACTTGGGAGATTAATGGTGTCCCAAGTCACTGGTTGAATCCCGATCCGAGGAAATTATGACTCTGTTAACAGTCCGCGAACCAGAACTCCGAGTAAGGAATTCTGTTAACCCGGGAGAAGGTATTAGGCACACCCGGATTCCGTGGTTCTAGCACGGTCGCTCAACTGTTATATTTGGATTTATCTGATTTCAAAACATGTTTTAGCTTATGTGCTTTTTAACCGTAAACCGCTTTCATTATTATTTTAATGAGAATTGCAACGTCGTGAAAACATGTCTCGAACCGCGTCACATAAATGTACCCGCGATTTTTGACACATTTCGACTTCGTTGAGATTTGGATTTGGGTCACACAAATGTGCACTCGAGTTTAGGAAGGTGAATTATTAAAACAACGCGTCTAAAACAACTACGAATATCAAAAGTCGTTTCTCATGCAGCTCAATCTCAAATGTGGTAATTGGCACCATTAAAACGTAAAACTTGTTTGTGCGTTTCCTAATGTTTGGTATACATTATAAACTTAGCAAGCTCACTGATGCAAAGTAACTGTGATACAAGCATATGGACGTAAATAAGCATAAGGAACATGCCCGTAAAGAACAAATACTCCTGGACAACAATGATTTCGGCTAAAATTGTTCAAACAATAAGCAAAAGGACAAATCTACTCAGTTAAAACTTTTATAAAGGAAGAGAAAATACTTAAGACCTTTAAAACAAAATAAACAATTCGTTACTATATGTTAAACAAACCAAGAGCATTCAAAAATCTGATTTGCTAAAAATTCACAGTCCAACACAATTCTCAACTAATCACATGGCCATCACTATTTAATTTTGCACTTAATCAAACAAAATACTTAATAGTCACACAATTAATCCAATGTATAACTCAATACACCAAATCTATTAGGCAAAATCAAACAAGAAAATTGATCTCACGGTATATAAACATCATGAATAATACTTCTGAACAGAACAATCAGAGGCAAGGAAAACTGACCAAATGTACATACCAGTCCGGCGACAACGAGCAGAACCAGCGCCGGAGACCTCAAACGCTAGATCCCCGGACGAAATTCAAACCGGAAACCAAACGTACGGTACCTCAACGCACGAATGAAACAGAGCCCCTCTAGACAACGACCATCGACGACCTAAAAGCTTGACGGAAGGCTCAAACTGAACCAGAAAGACAAACTTAAACGGCTGGTTTTGAGCGTTGAGGACGCGAGATCTGGAGCTGATGTATATTGGAATTTCATGGTTCTATTTTTGGACTGAATATCATCACTGCCGTATTCTCTCTATTTGGCTTTTTTCCTCTTGTCTTATGTTTACTCACTTGGATCTCGCCGGGAATTTGAACAACGAAGTAAAAACAGGGGTCGTACATGGGAGCTTTAATGATGGCTAGCGGCTGTTTTTGAGGCGTGAAGAAGAGGGTGGCGAAGCTATTTGGTTTTGGTTGTTGAATCCCGGAAAAATGGCTGCTTATGGGGTAATTTTATGACTGATTTTCAGTCACTCATGAAGGTTTTGGCCGATTTCTAATGAAGAAGATGGAAGATTGCTCGTTCTTCGTTTTGCCCAGAAAATTCCCGTCCCCCCCTTTTCTTTATGTGTGTGCCTGTCTTATATAGCTGAATGGGAGTATTTTTTTTTTGGGTCTGAATTGGAGAGCAAGAAAAGTTATTTGATATGGCCAAAGGAAAATTATCAATTAAAGAATCCAATGTGACGGTTATGTGTGTGGGCAAGTGGACTCCTCTAGTTTGTTATGGGAATATTCCCACAAAGGCACAAATATAGTCCACATGCAGCAAAGGTGAGATGGACAATAAAATAGAAAGAATAATTTCCTTTTCATGCAATTTTGCTTTGCCCCTAAAGTTTCCTCCTTTCTATTTCGTTACTTTTTTCACTTTTCGTTATTTTCTTGTTTTGTTTTATCTTTTTCTTTGTTTTTTTTTTCATTTTTCTTTTCTTATCCTTTTTCTTTTTCAAAAAATAAAATGTTCAGCCTATTTTGTATTATTTTTCAAAGGTAAAATTAGTTAGACAAAATATCAACTACCTAAAATAAAGGAAAATATTTTTGTAGTTTTTTCTTTTTTAAAATAGTACTATTAGACCTAAAATTAATATCTAACCATTAAAGGTATAAGATTTCGGGGAGGGTCAAAAATTACATGTCTACAATAGAGTCTTATGATCCCG